AAATAGAATTTTATATATATATATGGGGGACCCAAAAAAACCTGAACTTATTTTTTGGAGGGCGGGCCCCTTGTAGTACTCTCTGAATCTGTTCCTCTGAATCAAATGGTCAACTGAAGTTTTTATCTGGAAGTTTTGAAAGGGTTGCATTGCATTTTGTAGAAGAAACATTCCAAGTTGTGGCACACCTGCCTAATTTTTTGATTTTTTTTGAAGAGACAAGGTCTCACTATGTTGCCTAGGCTGGTCTTGAACTCCTGGGTGCAAGCAATCCTCTCGCTTTGATCTTCTAGTGTGCTAGGATTTATAGGCATGAGTCACCGTGCCTGGCCTCTGTTGAATTTTAGTGTGCTCTCTTAGAATCTCTGTTGGACGTGTGGTTATCTACTCACTGTTTTGGTCTCTTTTTTTTGGAGGACTAATACTGGGTGCTTGTAGTTAGCCATCTTTTTATATTCATCATCATTTGATTTTTTGATCCCCTTTTCTTTCGTCTTTTTTTTTTTTCCTTTGAGTTGGAGCCTCACTCTGTTGCCCAGACTGGAGTGCAGTGGCCGCTGCCGGCCACCACAGCCTCGACCTGCTGGGCTCCGGGGATCCTTTCGTCAGCCTTCCAGGTAGCTGGAACTACAGGCGCGCACTACTACGCACGGCTAATTTTTTCTTTCTTCTTTTCTTTGAGTTGGAGTCTCACTCTGTCGCCCAGGCTGGAGTGCAGTGGCGGCTCCCGGCTGCTGCAGCCTCGACCTGCTGGGCCCCGGCGATCCTTCCGAGTAGCCCGAATTACAGGCATGCGCTACCACACCCGGCTGATTTTTTTGATTTATTGTAGAGATGCAGTCTCACCAAGTTGCCCAGGCGGGTCGCGAACCCGCGGGCTCAGGCAATCCACTCACCTCAGCCTCCCAAAGCGCGGGATTACAGGCTGAGCCCACCCAGCCCGGCTCTCTTTTCTTAATTTTTTTTGGAGTTGGAGTCTCACTCTGTTGCCCAGATTGGAGACTTTCATTCTTTTTAATCAATGTTTTTCTTTATCTTACTGAGGATTCCAAGTATATGTATTTTAAATTCATATTCTTGTTGTCCTATTATGTTTAACCCTTTTTATCTTAATGTTGATTTTGTTTTTCACAGCCTAAGTGTTTCTCATGTGATAGTTATTTTTTATTTTAAAGATTCATTATGATTGGGGTTTCAGTAAGAATCTAAGAATCTAGTCTTTTTTTTTTTTTTTTTTGAGTTGGAGTCTCACTCTGTCGCCCAGACTGGAGTGCAGTGGCCGCTCCCAGCCACCGCAGCCTCGACCTGCTGGGGTCCGTTGATCCTTCCACCTCAGCCTTCCAAGTAGCTGGAACTACAGGCACGCACTACCATGCCCAGCTAATATTTTGATTTATTGTAGAGATGCGGTCTCATCAAGTTGCCCAGGCGGGTCTTGAACCCGCGGGCTCAGGCAATCCACTCACCT